TACTCACGATTTGGAGTTAGCAGCAGTGATTTTTGCCTTGAAGATTTGGAGACACTATCTTTATGGAGAAAAGTGTTATATTTTCACGGATCATAAGAGCTTAAAGTATCTCCTGACCCAGAAGGAGCTTAATTTGAGACAACGGCGCTGGCTAGAGCTTCTGAAGGATTATGATTGTGTGATTGATTATCACCCTGGTAAAGCTAACATTGTAGCGGATGCTTTGAGTCGAAAGGCAGTATCGGAGTTGAGATCTTTAATGGCCAGGATGAATTTATATGACGATGGCACTTTATTAGCAGAATTGCAAGTTAAGCCGACCTTGGTTGATGAGATCAAGGCTAAACAGCCCCTTGATAGCTCCTTGCTTTCCATCTTTGAGCAAGTAGAGCAGGGGACAAATTTAGATTACGCAATTGATCAGGATGAAGTTTTATGTTTTAAAGGTAGATATTGTGTGCCTGATGATGCTGAGTTGAGGCAGACTATCCTTATTGAGGCTCATAGTAGTCCATATGCTATGCACCCCGGAGGAGATAAGATGTACCGGAATTTGAGAGAGAGGTATCATTGGATTGGGATGAAGAAAGACATATCTAATTTTGTGGCTAGGTGTTTGACTTGTCAGCAAGTTAAGGCAGAACATCAACATCCATCAGGTTTGTTACAGCCTATCAAGATTCCTGAATGGAAATGGGAGCGTATTACTATGGATTTTGTTACCGGTTTACCTATGACTCCTTTGAAAAAAGATTCAGTTTGGGTAATTGTTGACAGACTTACAAAGTCAGCTCACTTCATTCCTGTGCGGGTAAATTATACTTTGGACAAGCTGGATAGATTGTATATTTCAGAGATTGTCCGATTGCATGGTGTTCCATTGTCTATTATTTCTGATCGAGATCCAAGATTTACTTCGAGATTTTGGAAGGCGCTACATACGGCTTTGGGAACAAGATTGGATTATAGCACATCCTTTCATCCACAAACAGATGGTCAATCTGAGAGAGTGATTCAGATTCTGGAGGATATGCTGCGGGGTTGCGTAATTGATTTTCATGGTAGCTGGGAGAACTTTTTGCCTTTGGCTGAATTTGCTTACAACAACAGTTATCAGACCAGCATTCGTATGGCACCTTATGAAGCACTCTATGGGCGTAAATGTCGCACTCCGATCTGTTGGACTGAGTTGCGTGATAGGAAAACGTTGGGACCTGAGTTAGTGCGAGAGACGGAGGACACAGTCAGATTGATACGTGACCGTTTGAAAGAGGCATTTGATAGGCAGAAGTCTTATGCATATCAGAGAAGGAAAGATAGGTCTTTTTGAAAGTTTCACCCTGGAAGAAAGTATTGAGATTTGGGCGTAAGGGTAAATTGAGTCCAAGATTTATTGGACCATTTCGTATCTTGAAGAGGGTAGGACCTGTTGCATATCAGCTTGAGTTGCCTTCTGAGCTAAGTCGTATTCATGATGTCTTTCATGTATCAATGTTGAGGAGATACTATCCAGATCCAAGTCACATTATTCAGGTTGAAGAAGTAGAGCTGAGACCTGATTTGTCATATGAAGAGGAGCCCATTCAGATCTTAGAAAGAGATGAGCGAGTTCTTCGGAATAGGCGTATTCCAATGGTCAAAGTTCAGTGGAGTAATCGTAGCCCCTCAGAAGCTACTTGGGAGACATTGGAGTCAATGGAGACTCAATTTCCTCATCTATTTTCATAAGGTAAATTTTTGAGGACGAAATTTCTTGTAGAAGGGGAGAATTGTAACAACCCGGAAAAATTTAGAATAATATTAAATTGAAATTGGAGGTTAATTGTGAAAATTGGTAAATTTTTTTGGGACTAAATTGAAATATTTTAAAACTTGGAGCTTGTTTTAGAGTTAAAGGAAATTCAGGGACCAAGCCCTAAATTTATCCTAAAAGTGTCAGCAGCTTTGGTGATTTAAGCGTGTTTCTGGTTTCAAATCAGAAACCACAAATGTTAAATTGCTTAAGTTTTTCTCCTCCCATACCCTTACTTCCAAGCCCGATTCCGACGCCGTTCGACGTCCAATCGTAAAATTGAAACCACCGTTGTGTTTATCATCAAGTGAGGAACAAACCCTTCAAATTAATTGAAGTGAAACGCTGCCAAACGTCGGGAATTTTCAATCAAAGCATCGTCGTTTTTTTTTAGCTCTATCGCCGGGAAAAACTTAAATTCACCGCCGATCGTTGTTCCGTTTACGACAGCTCCTGCATCATCGTGTTCCTTGTGTCGTTGCGAGTCCGCCGGTGTCAACCTTGTTCGCCGTCGACGGCGGCGCGTGAGGAGGTGGAGCAGTCAAAGATTCGGCCGAGTTGAAATACGAGCTCTCTGCCGTTCAAAAATTTGAACCCGATCGTTGTAAGTATCTCGAAATCGCTCAAAATAATTTTTAGAAATTTTTCCGGGAATTTTCCGACACCGTGGCACTGTTCACGCGCCGCCGCAGGGAGAGTGAGCTGCTGGAAAACCGGTTTGACCAGTTTTGAACCGGTTTGACCCAACCCGACCCGACCTGACTGTTGACCCAACCCGACCGTTGACCCGACCCGACCGTTGACCGTTGACCGTGACCGTTGACCGTTGACTTTCTTTGACTAAAACTTAAGATGGCTTTGACCGACCCTTAAACGACCGTAAATCTTTTCCGAGTATACCTATCCTGATAGTTTTCGACGTGCCAAATCCATTTCCGCAGTCCGTTTCACCAAATTCAAACCCGAAGGTCTCCAAATCGACGGTCAAAGTGGTTGACTTTGACTTTGACCAAGAATTTGGATTTTCGAAAAGTCATACTTTATATTTTTCGACGTCCTGATTCCGATTCCGCAATCCGTTTGGCCAAATTCAGACTCGAAATACCCCAAATTGATAGTCAAACTCGGAAAATGCTTAGATACTTAAGAATTTTAGCTTTGAACAATTAAGTAAGATTTGGGGCTGATAAATTATTGTTATTTGAAGGTGCACGAGACTCACCAGATCGTTCAAAAGCTCGACCCAGCTCTTCTAGATCAGTTAAACCACGTATGCCAGTATTCACCCGTAAGACCAGTAAATTTTATGATTTTAGAGATTTATTTATGTTACCCATAAGTAATATAGTGTTACTATAAATTAGGTTCGAAAACTGTAGCAGAGCGTGGTGAAACCAGGAATCAGTAGATCTACGATTTGAACCTATTATCGAGGTGTGTTCCCTATTTATTACTGAACTGTTTTATTTGTTTTAATATGTGGTACACTGAATTCTTTGGTTACCGTATTGTTGATGCACCGATTTAATGTGATGATTTATGGATTATGACTGTTATCTGATATTTGTTTTGAAATGGTATATGATTACCATGTTTATGGATTTATGGAATTTATAACACGGTGCAATTGAATTTTTGGAATACGAATTTATAAATTACAGCTCTGATCAAGCTGGAAAATTTTACAGACCTAATGCGACTCTTAGGTAGGCTCTGCGGCCCTGAGATCATTCTCGGGTAGGCCCTGCGGCCCTAAGATGTGTTCTTAGGTAGGCCTCACGGCCCCGAAATCTATCTTGGGTAGGCTCTCAGGCCCTAAGATGTTCCCTTAGGGTAACGCTTTTTAAAGAGATTTACTGCAGTATAATTTTATGAGACTTTTTGGACTATGATATGTTTAGTGTACCTATAGTGATTTTATGGTAATATTGGGACACACTGAGCCTAGCTCACTTTTCGAAAATGTTTTTTCCCCTTTCAGATACTGTTGGTTAGATACCCTGGATTGAGCACTTGGAGGATCAACATATCTCTTGAAGTATATCTGATTGTAACGTTTTTACCTTGCAAGTTGACTTTATTTTGTTGACATGGACCTTATTTTAAAGTATGGGATTTTAATATGATGACATTTTTACTATTACTATTCGGTTTATCGTGATTTGATTTTTAAGATATGTTTTAAATTAATTTATTACTTATTGGTATTATATTTACAAGTTAGGTTTTGATAGTATGATTTATTATAATTTCATGTCATTTATAATGTGATTTTACATTGTTTGAATAACGGTTTCGGAAAAATGTCTTAAAGAATCATAATGTGATCCACTAGACTTAGTCAAAACGCGTAGGCCGGGTCTAGGGGGTTACACTCCCTTTTGTGATTCTATTAACTCATTTCTTTGTTTTTTTCTTTCTTTTTTCACTACCAGAAAAATATTTTTTCGGCAACATTATATAACAATGCAACTAATGTAGAAAATAACAATAGCATCTGTAAATGGGAAGATCCTCGATCGAAGTGTTTATACACCAAATTCGCAACACCGTAATGACTGAACTTAGAAGGAAGATGAAGAATCTACATATCCACGTTTGACATTTCATATCCAAAATTCATGAAAAAAAAAGGAATAAATTTATCTAGAATTTAGAAATATATAAAAATAAGAACAAAAAGAATTTGGAAACATGAATTTACTTAGGATTTTTAAAAAAAAAATCTTCAATAATCACAATTGATGATAAGTAATTGTGACTTTGTGTTTGTGAATTGTGAGAAATATGAGAAATTGAAAATTGAGAACAATAATTTTCAAATGAATTTTGAAATATGAAAGAAAAAAAGAAATAAGTCAATTTTACTTCAATTTTCTCCTCTCATTGGGAATAAAAAATAACCGTTGATAAATATTATGAATTTGAATGTTGGTAAGATTTTTTTTTTTTTGAATTTTGATAACAAATAACAGTTTTTTAACATTATTTTCCAAATTTTAATTAACAAGTTCCGATCAATTAAAATTAAAGCATTAACGTAGCCCAAAAAAAATAGTGCATTAATATTTGTGGGCTCTGGGTTGCAATACTCTTAATTTAATTTATTCTTTATAACAATATAATAAGAAATGGAGAGTGCATTGATAGAATCGGTGAATTAATTAATAATTTATTAAAGTATGGTAAATTAATATAAATTAGAATTATGGGCCTTGGCGGGTGCCCCTCTTGCCCCAGCCCAGGGCCGGCCCCTGCCGATCAACCGGCAGCTGCCGATCAACCGGCAGCTTTCGGGGTTATCAAAGTTAGCGAGGCAGAATTTCCGGCCTTAAATGGCCAGGGTGTTTCCTATGCTGTTCTGCAGTTCCCTTCGGGTTCCTTAAATCCACCCCACCGCCATCCCGAATTGGCTGAGCTTCTTTTTATTCTCACCAGCTCTCTCGAAGTTAGGTTCATCGATGCAAACAATGTGTTACGTAGTCAGACACTTGAAGCTGGAGATGTGTCCGTTTTCCCTAAGGGGGTAATACATTATCAGTACAACTACGGGCAGGACTCGGCGTTTGCGATTTCGGCTTTCGGCAATGCAGATGTTCGAACCGTACGTAGTCCGGGGTCTATGTCTTCAACTAACATTAGAGATGATAACATTGCTAAATCTTTCAAGATTGATGGTCGAGGCTGACATTCGAATTTCAAATTTATAAAATGTTGTGTTTTTTTGTTTGTTAAGGAACCAATATGGGAGCCACTTATTCATTAAGCTCAGTTGGCTTAAGAGTCTCAATCTCCTCACAGAGCATACACCTGGGATCAACGTCAATCCTATCTTCACTTATTATTCGGCAGTATATATTAAACATTTTTTAATTTATTAACAACACATATAAATACAAGTCTTTGTACTTAAGATTTATAAAAAAATAATACTTTTATTACTGAATTCATTTTATGGATTATATATATATAATTTAATTAATTTCAAGATGTTCTAAAAATATTCAATTAATTTTAACAAATTGAATATGTAATGCGGTGATAAAATAACTTCCATTTAAATAAAGTTCTACTAATTTAGATTAAATTTTAAATTTTTTAAATTTATTCTTATATAATTCATGTTTCAACAGCAATAAAAATATTTTTAAACTATTAATAAATAACTGTTGCAAAATAAAAACAGTATTGGTTATTATAAATAAAGATATTAATAATATATAATAATAATAATAATAATAAAGGATACAAATACTACGTTGTAATAAATTTATTATTGAATTGATATAATTCTAAAAGTAGACATTACCTTCAAAATTAACCCAACCTTTTAAATAAGTGGAGAAACGAACCTTAATATTATTCTTTTCGAAAACAAGGAGATAGAAATATAAAGAAACAAATAAACTTCACGTACGAAATAACAAATTAAAATTTGACATTTATAAGACTAAAAACAGGAGAAAATCAATAAATAAAATAAAAAATATATCATAAAAAACCCATTCGCTTCAAAAATCTATTTAAAACAAAAATAAAATCATATAAAAAATAATATGATTTTTGTATAGTTTACCCTTATATTTAGGGGTGAAAGTTCGATTGAATCAAATAAAAAAAAATTCAAGTTATTAGGGTTGACGAGTCATATTCTATAACTCGAAATTGACTTACTATTTTTTTTGAGTCTAGTCGAGTTTACAAAAATCGAGTCGACTCAAATTTTGAGTTTCTATTTAGATTTAATTGTAAATATTTATAATATTATGATATTATTTGAGTCCAATTTAAATATTTTTATAATTATATACAATACATACATATTTCTTTATATGTTATATTCATATATCATACAAAATCGAGAGACTCGACTCGAAATTGAAAATCAAATCACTAATTACTAAAAAATTGAGTTATTCAACTTGTCTTTTACAAATCGCTTTGAACTTGAATTTTTTTAATCGAGTCGAATTTATGAAATTATAACTCAAAATCAATTCGATTTGAGTCAAATCAAAAAATCAATTTTTCAAGTCGGGTTTTACTCACTCGTACTTATATTAACAACATTTAACATCTCACCAATATAAAAAGATTGATGAAAAAATGAAACAAATGCAACCGTTTTCATAATTTACCCATAAAACTATTATCTATTCGAACTCATTTTCCAAAGGCTTAATTAGAAAATAAATGTCCGAAGTATACCGCTTTTCTCAAATAAATGCCTACACTTTTTTTTATTCTTTTAGATGTCTAACGTTAAAAACGTTACAATTTTAGGTGTTCGTACCGTAACTACAGTTAATTTTTTTTGTTAAATAGCACATGTCAAATTCTAGTAATTTTAAAAATTTATTTAAAATAAAAAAACTTAAAATTATTAATATTATTTAAAAAAAAACTATCCTTTTTCTAAATTTCAGAAGAAAAAAAATTAAATTTTTTAAACCTTTAATTTTAATTCCTTTACTTCCATCATCGATCATCTTTGGTTGTCGATTCACCACCGAATGACCACATATATGTCATAATTTGCTATTAATCAGTCATCACTCTTGTCATCTTCTTACACCCCAAATTTCTAAAATCATAAATACATATTTTATAAACTATAATAATACACTTCAATATGCCTCTAGGCTGGTTGAATGGTTGGGTGACGTGGGAAAATGAGAGAAGATGAGAGAGAGAGGGAGAGGGGTGAAGAGATAGGGGAAGGGGAGAGGGACGGGGTGGATTCTTTGGAGGGTTTTTTGACCCAAAAAAATACCTTATTAAAAAAATACTACCTATCAAGAACCATTTCCTAATTATTTCTCGAGCTAAAACCTTTTTTTAGGAGAGAGAATAAGGCACATGGTAGGAGACGTGCCTTAGCCAAGGGAAAGGAATGTGCGTCGTATGAAACGTGCCTTTCATAGGTTTTATGAATGGAACGTCCTAGGGAACGCGCCTCCCTTGAATGGCGTGTCGTAGGGAATGCATATTCTATGCTTGATGATTTTAGGTTTAGGGTTTTACGTAAAATAGTTTTAGGATTTTGTAATTGGTTTTAGGGTTTTTTTAGTGTTTAAGGTGTTGTATTTGTATGGTTTAGGGTTTTTTTTAAAGAAGTTTAGGGTTAAAAATGATTGTATGTTAAAATATTTGTGTTTTTAAAGTAGGGTTTAGGGTTAAAGTTAATTGTATATTAGATTGTAAAAATTAAACGTTAAACATTTAATTGGAAAAAATATATAGATATATGAAAGGGTCATCTTGTAAAATAAAAAAGTTTAAATCACATTAATTTAAACTAAAAGAAAATGAAATAACATAAGTTGAAACATTAGAAAATATGATTACATGAGTGGTGGTCAACGGTTACGTGATGATGAAAGAGATGACATTTTCTCTTATTATGGCTTGGGTATCTGCAATGGCCACATCTTAAGTTTTGTCTTAACGTCTCTCGAATATTCATATCCCAATAAATTCGAGTGGATTTTGGACGACTTGGCTCCTTTAATAAGTCTGGATCTGGTATAATTAGAAGCCAAGTATGAACCTCATTTGGGTTTTTGTCATTGCCTATGGGGGAACTCATATTCATATACCTTGAATACTTGTGAAAGTTGGTATATAGGATCCACATAATGCTTATAGTCTTGACGAGAAAATGAGTAAGTTGTTATGACATGAGAGCATGGATACTTCAAAGCCTGAAAAAACTCACAGTTATAACATCTATCTCGTAGATTAACTCCGAAAAAGTTAGATTTAATCTCTTGCAGAGATCGTGGCATTTCTGTGATCCGAAATAATTCATGGGTGCGAGAAACTATTATTATGGACATGTTGTTTGATGCTGCAAACTTTTGATGCAGGTCTGCTACTAATCGTGGGTGATAAACATGACCATTTTGTACCCAAGTAAGAGCTTGTCCCCCAAGCTTGGAAAAAAATTTACACAAACAAAAATACGTCATTTTAGACAAACCAGTTACTGGTAAATGACGGGGCCCCTTTAAGGTTGAATTGATTGCCTTAGTGTAACACCCCAACCCATATCCGACCCGGATACAAATCCGAGGTGTCACATTGACTTTTCAAATCGTTTACTTTTAAAAAATAGTTGAAAATTTAAACTTTTATTTATATAAAAATGGTGAAACCTTTAATCAAAAGTAACTAACTGAAGTTTAAACTCAATTTGAAACTATAACTCCATAATTTACATAGCTACAATAAGGTTTGTTTACAAAATTGATCAGAGCATATACAATTCAAACCTTTAATTACATGCCAACCATATTCAGTATAACAAAATACCTACGGTTTAATTATTTTCTGGTCTGATATTATGAAAGGAGATGTTGTCCTAACTTGCTTAACTTTTCTCTTCTTGCTTCTCTGAACCTACATGTGAAACACTCACACGCTAAGTTGTTGACTTAGTGAGGCATATAAATACAAAATAACCCCTTAAACACTTAATATAATCTAAGCATTTCATACCATCATATAACACATAAAATCATAAAACATATCATATAACAAAATGCAAACATGAATATATACCATCATTATCATGCTATATCCATTTATAAAATCTTAAAACATTTAAACATATTCTAAACATATCATAAAAATCATATACAGAAACCATGAAACACCTCATATAACAAAAGCATATATGCACACACTCACACACACACATATATATCATCAACATCATTATCATTATCATTATCATTCGTTGTTCATTTATATCATTTCTTTTACTATCCCATGTACATCATTGAGAACTTAAGGTATGTGAGTGCATTGAGGTTGTACAAAAATGTTGTCACCACAACTCGTATAAATTGCACCAAAGTGCCGCGTAGAAATGTCTTGAATGACCACATAGTATTGTCCCGAAGGACAATGTAGAAATGTCTCGAATGACCACATAGAATTGTCTCGAAGGACCGCGTAGAACCCTCGACTCTTGGCATGCCAATTATACCTTTAGCTCTCATAACACATACTTATGGGCTTTACTATTTACACATTTCATATTTTCATATAATCATGTAGTTCAATATCACATAGGTCATTGTCACGTAGCTTATATACATTTTCATATAATCACTTATGTCAATACCACATAATTATATCATATTCAAGTCATCACATAGGTAATTGTCACATAGCTTATATCTTGTTCTCATATATCCACATAGATCATGTGACACATAGGATAACATATAACACATAGATCATGTATAACAATGCACGTAACATATAGACATATGCATATACTCATGTATACATAGAAATCATATCAATATATACTTGTATTCATGAATTCATACAATCAAACATTGGAAATAGACTCATCGCAAGTCTTCTTTCCATATAATCATATTTAATAATAACATGCACTCAACTTGGCCTCACTAGTCAAAGCAAAATACTTATAACTCTTGCACACTCTTATAAGTTCAAATCGTCCGAAACTTGCCTTCTTTCAATATCTACACAATAATACGATTGGTATAAATATCGTAATTCATATCACTATAATTAATCCTTCATAACATAAACTGGACGAAGCATTTAATTCTAAATTTCAATCTGAATAGTATCAGTACCCCTAGTATCGATGCTACTACTTCAGTATCGATACTCTTTAAAGGGTTCATCAACGTTTACCTTATAGTATTGATACTGTTCATCCAATATCGATACCCAGACCAAGATATTACCCATTTTTGCCTTGAATTGTCGGTATTGTTTATCCAGTACCGATACCTATTTCCTAGAACCTACTTGTTCAACTCAAAAATTAACCAAAACTCAGCTAAAATCCTCACTTTACTCTTCTTTAAAGCCTTTAAACTCAACTACACTTATTCAAATCAACTTACACCCCTTTAACATATTTAAACATCCAAAATATCATAATATCACTTGAAACTAAGAATCTTGCCAAATATTTCACATGTTCTAAATTCATTTCTAACACTTTAGATTTCTTATTTCAACTAATGACAAGTCAAATTTCACTTGAAAATCAATTTATTAACTTTTTCTTATCAAATCACTTAAAAACCATTTTTATTCAATCTCTCGTAACTTGCAAATCTTTTAGTTTCTACTTCTCTTTAAGCTTCCTTAAGCTTTTCTAACATCCCAAGAATCAAAGCCACTCAAAATTTACAAGAAATAACCAACTGAAAGCATTCTTACCTTTACCAAGCACTCACGTAGAAAGGAGGAAGAAGAAAGAAATTTTTGGATTCATTGCACTTCTTCTTCCCTTGTTACACGTGGATATATAAAACATCCATAATAAATTTTTAATTCATTCCTTATCATTTGACCATTATACCCTTCCATCCTTCCTTATTTACTATTCAATCATACACAAAGATATTCCAATTAAGTCCTAAACTTTTAATTTTTTGAAATTAGACATGAAGTTTTAAAATCTTACAATTTAATCACTAACCTGGTTTTGGCAATGTTACACTCAGGCAAGTTGGTTGTCATATGTCCATATCGATATCCACCATCGTATGTGTTTGTACACTTTTTTGTTGATTTCACTAATGTAATTGTATCCACAATCATTTTTTCCTTGCAATTCTTTAAGTATAACCTCAAACGTTTGAGGTGAGACTTCGTAACCTAAGCAAAATGAAGTAGTTAATATAAAAAATGAAATGAGTGAGAAATAAATTGAGAAAATGTAACATACCCATGCGTATAATTAATTTACGTTCATCAATATTATTATATCTGCCATGATAGTTTGCAGTAATATGTCAGATACAGAAACGATGTTGGATGTGTGGGGGTTTCCACATTGGACCCAAAGAGTCCATTGTTGTTTTGATCCCAGCTCCTCGGTCAGAAATAATACAAATACGTTCCCTCGTGATAACATGTAACCGTATATTTCTTAAGAAAAAAACCCAATACTTTGTATCTTTTTCCTTCAACAAAGGCAAAGGCAACGGGAAGAATGTTGCGATTGTAACACCCATCTCCCATATACTTTTATGTATACAAGATACATATGTCACATAACTTTTAAAACTGCTTCCCATTTGAAAAGCCGTACAATTTTGTTTCATTTTATAAACCACTATAATTTACTTATAATTAAAACATGCATTAAACTTACATATACAATAAAAAAAGTTGTTTCATATTCCATCGGTTTACAGTAATTTAATTCAAAAGCTTTTCAAAATGATTTTACTAAACCTATTACATGACAACTAAAATATATCAAAAGCAGGCATGTATGTCATATTGTTACTGATGAGGTGACTCTGACTTAATATCTGATGATCTCCTTACTCAACTGGTATTCCACCTATGCGTGAAATAAACACACGTTAAGTATTACTTAGTGAGGCATGCTTAATCAAAAGTAAATTTTAAACACAAGTTATTTTATTACACTTTACATTTCAAGTGATCTTTCAATAAGTATTCTATAATTTGCATCGTTAGTGCTAATATCCTCATTTTATCAACAAGTAAAATTTAAACACAAGTTATTTTATTACACTTTACATTTCAAGGGATATTTCAATAAGTATTCTATAATTTGCATCGCTAGTGCTAATATCCTCATTTATCAACCATCACAAAAATCTGTGTGGTTTGCATACCCATTACCAATATAAAAATCCATTTCCTTATTATGAATTTCTTATGTTTATACACATATATTTTCCATACGGAAATTCATAATCTTAGTATGAATTTATCATTTTAGCACACAAAGTGTCCAATACGGAATTTTATACACTTAGTATGAATTTCTTATCATTTTAGCACACAAAGTGCTTGATACGGAAATTCATACACTTGGTATGAATTTCTTATCATTTTAGCACACAAAGTGCCCGATACGAAAATTCATACACTTAGTATGAATTTCTTATCATTTTAGCACACAAAGTGCCCAATACAGAAATGCATACACTTAGTATAAATTTCTTATCATTTTACACACTTAGTGTCATTTGGTAATAATTATACAGAAGTTAATAATTTCTACACTATTACTATAGTAGCATGTACGTACATAATTAAATGCACTCCCGTGGCTCGCCTTGCTTAGATATCCAAAATGGGAATATGATTATTCCGGAACTTGGCCCTTGCCTTTTGCCTTACTCGACTCGGGAGTTTAATTTCGATCTATCCCAGATTCATTAAATACATGTATAATATCAATTGTTAGTGTATTTCCTAACAATTATAACTTAAACATTAATCAAAAGTACTTATTATTAACCTTTCTACAACAATATCAGCATAACTTAAAATTTATGGTTCTTCAGTATCGATATCCCTACCATTGTATCGATACTATCCTACTATTGTATCGATACTCCCTTCCGGTATCGATACCAAAATTAGATTCGATGTGACCTGGTATCGATGCCCTTACCATGGTATTGATACTACTATACTATGGTACCGACACCCCCTTCCGGTATCGATACCAAAATTGGGTTCGATGTTACTTGGTATCGATACTACCTCGTCGGTATCGATACCAAAATCCGCTTTGGAGGGTTAGAGTTTTTTTTATAGAAAACATTTTACATATTTTTATTTTAAATAAAATTTTTAAAATTATTTGAATACAACATGTGTCCTTTAGCATCAGAATTTAATGATCGTCATGACCCGGACACCTAAAATGATAAAGTTTGTAACATTAAGCATCTGGATTAATCGAAAAAAAATTATACACATATTAAAAAAAGGGTGAACTACAGAGTTTGTCACTTTTGTTTCAGTTTTATAAATGTATGGACACTCGATTCAAAAAACATAATATATGATCACTCTTGTTTCGTTTTAATTAAGATGTGGTCATTGAGATGTTAGTTGCCGTGAGTTTGACGACGTGGCGCGTTAGTAAAAATATTTAATTTTTATTTGAATCCTTAAACTTTAGATAAATTACTAATCATGAGTCTTTTTGTAAACTCAAAATAATTCATGGATAAAATATTAATTTACCCTTTTTTTCCTAGGTTTTCTTCCCCCCAATTCTCTGCTGCTTCATCTCTAAACCACTGTTTCATCTCATCCGAAATTGATCCACTGAATGAATTTGGATCCAATTGAAGATAACTAGACTCCCATATTCACATATATCCCCAGGAACATCGTCGGACAAAGCATTGTCTCGAAGATCAAGCACGATTAGGTTCAAAAACAGCCCGAGCTCTAGCGGTATCCTTGACTGAAGCTTGTTCAATGATAATTTCAAGTACCTCATGCTGGTAAAAAGCCTCATTTCTGCAGGGATCGTTCCTTCAAGGTTGTTTCTAAACAGATATAAGTTTCGAAGAGCCTTAAAGAGACTACTCGAACCTCTCGAAATGGAATCGTTGAATCAATTATAGGGATCAAATAAACCAACTGGAACGCTACTAATGAGCTTATTAGTAGACAATCTCAAATATCTTAGAGCTTCGAGATAACCAAATAATAATAGCAAACTTCCCGTTAAACTGTTACTTGAGAAATCCAGATACTCCAAGCTACTCAAGTTACCAATCTATGGAAGAAACTCACTGGTAAACATATTGTTCGATAAACTGAACAAAACCAATGAATTTAACCTTTGGAGAGAATCCGGAAGTAATCCATTGATGATAAGAGGAAGGGTCCTTTATATCTGATTTCAACACTATCGTCGTTTAGTTGAATAGAAGAAGCTTCATTGTCTCCAATGCAGAAATCCATGGAAAGAAACAATAAATCAAGAAATAAAGAGAACACTCTGTTATTATCCTCATTGTTTTCATTTTTGTTCTTTGAAACCACCTGAGATCGAGCGGAAGCAATGCAATCTGCATCATTTTTTCTAAAGAAAATGCAGTTTTTTCACAAGAGATTGTTTTTTCAACTTTGTGATAAAGATTCTTTTAATTACTCATTTAGTTCTTCTCATAAAAAGAACAAATTAACTTTGGAGAGAAAAAACAGTGAATCAAAGTGAAAATTAATTCCGATATAAAGCAAAGCGACAGATAAGATTAAGTCTCGGGAAGAAAATATATGGAGAAAGGGTAAATTGATATTTTATCCCTGAATTATTTTAGATTTACAAAAAAAGACTCATAATTAGTAATTTATCTAAAGTTTAAGGATTTAAATAAAAATTAAACATTTTACTAATGTACCATGTCATCAAAACTCACAGTAGCTAATATTCAATAACCACATCTTAATTAAAACGAAACAAAAATGACCATATATCATGCTTTTCGAATCGAGTACATTTATAAAATTGAAATAAAAGTGACAACTTGTGGTACCCTGAAAAAAAATATTGTTTGACACTTATTTTAATTAAGCCTCTTTCAAAACTCACTTTTAAAATATTAAGATATACAAATAGTCTCTTTTTGTTTTTCGTTGACCGATTTCGGTCGATGTAAAATTAAACGCACTTGGTTCTTTTTTATTGATCCTTCGATTCTCCTTTATCAAGACAAAATAAAATGAGATTTTTCTTGCTATCTTCAGTTGCAGTATCATCTTAAGTAAGATAATGATAACTTCGAACACACTTCAAAAATGAGAAAAAAATCACACGACATTGACATAATAACTAAGAAAGTATCAAAACTTAAAGTAGCCATGGCAGCAAAAAGATTGAAATTGTCCCCAAGAATGAGCTCTGCTAAGACCTGTGATCACCAAACATTGCAGAATACAAGTGGTAAAGCAAAACCCAAAAATATAAGGTCTTGATCATCATCACTCAAAAACACCACATTTTAGCTTTATATTTTGCAAAGCTCAACACAGCAATGATAAGTTTCAGTCACTAAAAAGAACTTTGATACAATAAAAAGTTACTTCCTTTGGGTGATCAATATAAAATGGAGAAAGCCTAAACTTTCAAATCCAAACCTTCTCCTTTCAATAAAAATACTCGATAAGCAAAGGGTTGGGATTAGTTATTAGATCTCCCAGTCAAATTGAAAAAGGAAAGCTTTCCTTTCTCCCTTCATTTTGACTTTGGGTTTAGAGGGGAGAGAGATTGGACCTGTACAGGCGACTTGAAGGAGAGGGGAAGCGTGGGCCCAGGCGGTGGAGGGTATGGAGGCAAGCTTGAGTGGGCGGTCATCCATGGAGGCTCTTCAATAACTACGTTATCAGCCACTGAGTTACTATGAGATTTTTGAAGAGATGAAACAGTGAGGCTTCGGGTCTCTGTGAGTGGGGAGGTTGAATGATGTTTTGTTTTTGGTTTTCCCTTTAGTCTGCAAGTTGCCAAAAAGAATCCTCGTAAAAGCAACTCCAAGTCAGATGTACCCGTTGGCATACGCCGACATGGACTGATATTGCTACCCAACTTGCTGATTACACACCAGCTTTCATGTCGTGGCAAAGAAATCGGTAGCCAGTGATGATCATACGGGAAGAAGAAGAAAAAGGCGGAATTTAAAAAAAAAATTAATTACCACATACTTCAGTTAAAGGCTTAAGGACTAAAACCGAAACGGAATAATGTAAAGGATGAACTACACTTGATTTTAAACCAATAACAAAAAATCATACCGAAATACTGATTAAAACCGAACGGACCAATAATGTAAAGGATCACACACACTTAATTTTTTAACAGTAACAAAAATCAATCATACCGAGGGGTCAATTTGTATTAGTTTACCCAATATATAACATACTCCCATCAATTTAATCATTACCAAAATAGATGATCATCGATTCTAAGTTCAAACTCAACCCACAAGTGTAAAACGCATACTTCCATCTTCGAACGAAATGAATGCAACAATCAAACCATAAATTTGAACCTCACTTTAACACACAACTATCCATGTAAAAACACAGATATTGAATTTCAACAAGAAACAAAAACAAGTAAATGGAAAATTTTGGATCATTCAAGACAACCAGTCACAGTTACTTGATCTTCTTATTGGGCCTCAACTGCAAGTATGTGGTGTTTTTATTAGTTCAGAACCAAATAAATATAAAACAACCCATATGTGGGGGACATTTACTGACCTGATTGCCTGACCATTTCTTCTTCCTACAGTTCACTGCTCGGATGGAGACGAGCATACATCTAGCAAACAAACAATTAGGAGATTAATTATTTTTTATGACCATACACCTACCAAACAAAATACATTTGCAATATAGTTCTACACGATATAAAGCTTATAACCTTGAGCTAATGCTTAAGGAAAGAGCATAACAGGATAATAATTAAGTGGGTAAAATGAAACATTGTGGTCGATAAAAAAACAGAGGAACATTTGTTCAAGGGGACTTTTTATTCAAATATACCGCATTACGAATTATTTTCCAATCTAATACCTATTCAAAATTATTACCCAATCTAATATCCATTTCTGCAATAGACAAAGGCACGTTCTATGAAAAAACTTCTCTACATGAATCTAAGTCAGCAAAATGACAGTTCTTACAAGAAGCAACTTCTACCCACATGGAAAATTGAATTAATAAAATGCAACTTTAATTTTTTAAATAAAAACTATAGGATAAAAAAAGTTATTTGAAACATCTTGGATTTATGAATTAGAAAAGCTATTAGAGTTAATTTATAGACATAAATGGAGTGTTAGGCCTTGTTATTAACAACATGAGATTAAAAGCTAAAGAGAATTCCTAATTTTTCATATTATCTCTATATTCTAGATTTACAATTATCAAGATAAATCCAATTGTACTTCATATTAAATTCAAATTTATATTAAAATATGAATTAGAAATTCTTTCTAACTTAGTTGTCATGTAGAGAAGGGCTTTCTATAGAAGTCTTCGATTAGGAATTAATCTTGGGTGCATGTTATATTGGAAAATAATTTTTTAATAGGATATATTTGAATAGAAAACCCTGATTCAAGTCACTGGGTTGTTTAACTTAATCATTCGCTCCATAAACGCCAATCTCCATAACATCGCCTTACTAAGATCGTATGTGCATCGATCTCATAAGAAAACCTCACTAAGTTCTTATATATATCTCAAATATTAAATTTAAAAGGCCTCATACTGCACAATAAGCAAGCATCAATTTCCATTGTGCCATTCATGAAAATCAAACTGCCAAGAATTAGCTCAGCTCACAAAGTAGAAGAATGATTAAAGTAATTTTCGGAACCCCATAGACTTCTATCTCATCTTCAACTAAAGAGTAAAAACTAAACATGATCATAAAATAAAACAAAAGACAAGATGAAAGAGCTTACTTGCGGCAAATCATTTTGTTTTGGTATACTTGCGAGCCAAAGCCATCAAAGAAGGCTCAATGATTCCACCTCTCAACCTTAAAACAAGATGAAGTGTTGATTCTACATCCATAAGAAGAACAAGACCCAATAAGTACCTAAATGAGACCAAAAGTTAAAATGGCATAAAAAGAAGAAAACCCAAGAGAGAAACCTTTCTGGATATATAGTCAGCCAAAGTACGACCATCTTCGAGCTGTTTACCGGCGGAAAATGAGACGTTGTTGGTCCGGAGGTATGCCTGTTGGTGCATCAAGGTGAAATTTGGTTTTAAGATGAATAGAAAACAAAATTTTAGGAAGAAAACGGACCTTCTTTGTCTTGGATCTTGGCTTTGACGTTGTCAATTGTGTCGTGCTCTCGACTCGAGAGTATAGTCTTGCCGGTTAGGGTTTTCACGAAATCTGCATTTTTCCTGTTTTTAACCGGCCTTCGACAAAAAGATATAAGCGGCTATGAGATTGATCCTTGGTTTATACTCGTTTTCTAGGGTTTTTCTTTTTTCAAGATGAGAATGTAATTGGGAAATTTGTCATAACAAAAGAACAGGCATCTATTGGGCTGCATAACATACCGAAGGCCAATATTACCATTAAATTTAATTGGTTAAACTACGGATTAATCCTCCAACTATCTCATGATTTCGTTTTGACTATCTAACTATTTTTAAAGCATACCTAATATTACGCTTGTTTCATTTGAAAAAATAAAATAATATTACGCTTTGCTCCTACTGACATGTCAGCATTGCTAGTAAAATTTTAAGGGTAAACTACAAAGTTGGTCACTCTTGTGTCAGTTTTTATAAACGTATGATCACTCGATTCAAAAAAATTAATTCATAGTCACTTTTCGTTTCTTTTTAATTAACACATGGTCACTTACCCTAAACGGCAGTTAAAGGTAAGTGACTACATCTTAATTAAAACAAAATAAAAGTGGCTACGAATTAAGTTTTCGAATCGATTGATCATACGTGTATAAAACTGAAACAAAAATGGTCAACTCTGTAGTCTACCCAATTTTTAACGACGACGATCAAAACGTAACCAGGTATGATTTTGAAAACAAAATAGTTGGATGATCAAAACGAAATTGCGATTATAGTTGAATAACTAAATATGTAGTTTACCCAATTTAATTATAGGTTATTATTTTTATTTAATTTGTTTTCCATTAAATCAATTTAAGTTTAAGGGTGTGTATTTTGCAATTGTGGTTAGAGGGCTCCGATATGCAGTAACTAACTACCCGTCAAATGAGGAAAGACGTTCACAGCTGTGGCAGACTCAAGAAGGTTGCTTTTAAAAAAAAAAAAAAAGTTTTCTTCGGGTTTTAGGGCTCCAATCGTAAGAAATTAATAGGGGTGCAGCTGAGATGTACAATGATTTCGGTAGCAATTTGTAGTGTTTGCTATGGCCACGTTTAGGATCATGATTTGATTTAGCGTTTGTTGGTAATTTTTTGACTAAGTTCTTCAAACAAGGATAGGGTAGTAGATAATTTTGGTACAGGTTATCAACCAATGGAAAAGGAAAAGGAAAATCAAAATCAATATAAGCTTAACTTAAAAGAGTTCAACAGCTTGTGTGTAAATTACCATCAAAATCCATTACAGAATTAATGTGCGACAATAGAAACAGCAAACATGATTAAAACAGAAACCACAAGCATATCATAGCAACAGCAGTAGCAGCAATGAGTAATAGATACGAAGCAACGAATCACAGCCTTCCTCGCCTACCACCCTTTACGAGTACTGTCGGTGGGAATGGGAAGTAGTAACATCCTCTGAGGTCAAAAGGTTGCAAATCAATTACAAGAGTAGAAATGAATACACACAAAAGAAAACTCAAGAAACAGATGAATATGAAAAAATCATACCTACTTCGTCCAATTTCATGCCTGATCGAGCAAGGCTCTAAGAGCTGACTGCGCACCAGGACCAGGTGTCTTAGTCTTGTTCCCTCCGGTTGCTCTTAGCTTTATATGAAGGGCAGTAATACCCAACTCCTACAATGTAACAAACAACTGTGAAATAAGTTACCGTGCAAACCATGTGGTGCTATAACAAGTCTGAGGGGTTGGGCGATAAGACCTTGCAGCGCTGGGAGACTCTTGGGCTGCAAGCATGGCATAAGGAGAAGACTCATCTCTATCAGCCTTCACCTTCATACCACCTAAATTTGAAAAATCAAAGGAATAATTTCGAAAAATACTTTAATGGAAATAATTCCAACCTCAGACATGAACATCAATATAGTGCAACATTAACGTCACTAAAAACCATTTTCAAAAGATAATCATAAACCATACAGTGATGCGAACATTGTTTCCCTTCCAGACAAATCAGTCACATGCTGTAAATCAAATGACAGGATATTACACAGAATGAACTACAGGAAAAAAAAACAATGTAAAAGTGTGGGTTATCGCTTACTATAAATGTGTCGTTAAATGAAGCAAAAATGTGAGCCACTCCGAAAACATACTCGCCCTCTCGAACAGCAGGTCCAAGGGTAGTATTTCCTCCTTGGGCTCCCTACCTTTCTCCTGACTAGAAAATACCACAACATCATTGGGTAAATCAGTAACCTTAGAATTATTCTAATAAACCCTAAAATGGAAGCCCCAAAGGCTTCATTTGAACTATATCACCGCCAACATAGAATGAAGGTTAAATCTAAACAAATAAGTAAATGGTCCAACTTCAACATTCTCATTCAAGACCGACACACAATTGCATATGATAATATTCTTTGATTCAGTTTTTCAGCACAAACATGATTAAAGCCGGTGGAAAGTAAACATACACACAGAAAAATGTAATTTTATGGGAAGCCAAAGGATGATCGTATGATGGAAAAACCAGATAGGTGAAAATGAGAGAATTACCATGGCTTACGCGAAATGAAGAAGTGGTGGGAGACTAGGGTTTTGTGGGAGCTATATCTGAGTTATGCCTCCGGCAACTCAAGCTTCAAAGACGAAGCCGAAAAAGGCTGTTGCTATTTTATATCTAGGTTAGTAGGTTTTCCAATAACCCTAAACCGTAAATGACGAAAAAGGCCTTGTATTTGTTTTATATTTTGCAGGTCTTGTTTTTTAAGATGAGAGAAAAATATAGTTTGGTACAAATATATGGGTAAACTAAATTTAGTATCCAAATTATTTTTATACGTTTTGGTCATTTAATTATTTTTTCTAAAATCATATTAACGTTACTTTTAGTTTCATTTTAGTCACTCAACGTTAAAAATAATAGAATCACTTATGTGACATTTTTAATTTTTTTAATGAAATGTGGTATTACCTTATGATGACATGTTAGGAAACCATAATTTTTAATGATAGGAGACCAAATGAAACGTTAGGCATGATTTAAAATAGTTGGATTTAAAAGAGAATAAAAGTGATATTTAAGGTACTAGCGTGTAGTTCACCCTAAATATATTCCTATTTTATGAAAAATTATTGTATATTAGGAATAAATAATAAGTTTAATATAACATAAAGTCTCAAATTATATCGTTCTTCCTAAAGTAATGTCTAAACTTTTTTCGAATAATTTAAGTATTTAATGTTACCAGTTAAGTGCATTGTCTTTAACCATTGTTAAAATTTTTCGTTAAGTACTTATATAATTTTAAAAATTTTACTTCAAATAAAAAATTATAATTATAATTCATTTCTAAAAAGTTCAAAAACTTTGAAAACCTTTAAAAATTCTAAAATTTTAATTTCAATCCCTAAATCTACTCCAATCATATCCCCTTTTATCGTCGTCGAACCTTACCCATTTGCACCTCTATTAGACGACCAATTTGCAACGAAAATTCACTGGAACAAGAGCCAACAAACTAAAAATGACCGACGATTATAATTATAATTCATTTCTAAAAAGTCCAAAAACTTTAAAAACCTTTAAAAAAATTTTAAAATTTAATTTCAATCCCTAATCTACTCCAGTCATCCCCTTTATCGTCGTCGAACCTTACCCATTTGCACCTCTACTAGACGACCAATTTGCAACGAAAATTCACTGGAACAAGACCAACAAACAAAAAAATGACCGACGAATTACACGACCTCGACAAATAACAAAGTTGTAAATCACAACACCACGCGATCTCGATGACTAATCGACGGCAAGGATGATGATGTCTGACTAGGGAGATAGCAAGGATGATGATGTTGACAAGGCAGATAGCAAGGATGATGTCAACTGCAATGGTTGTGGCCGACAAAGGATGTAAGGTAGGGGTTAAGGTATATGATTTGAGATTTTAGGAATTTTAGATTTATTATGATTTAAGAGAAATTAGGAGCTTTTAAAATATAATAATATTTAAGTTTTTTAATAGAAATTTCAAAATTACTTAAATACAACACATGTCACATAACATGATTTTTTCATGGTCGTTACGATCGAGACACTTAAATAGTAATGTTTGTAACGTTAGACACTTAGAATGATCGAAAAAATTTAAAGACTACTTTGAAAAAATGTATAAACTGAGCATTTCATTTATAATAATAAATTCAATGAATATAAACCCTATTAAATCCCATCTTTATCATTTTATCTATTAATTTAATACCTTAATTATCATTATAGAAGGGTAAATTCAGTTACACAATGTAAAATTAAAATTTTACATTGATTATAATCATTGGACAAATGAAAATAGACCAATGAGAATAATAATTATGCATTAAAAAATTATTTACTAAAAAATAATGAAATATTTTTATTCGTCTTGTTTCACTCGTCTAATGGTCCTAAATAAATATAAAAATTTAAAAAAATATTATGTAAAACTTATAAGACAAATGTACAACTCCTCCTTATAAAGGGACATGTGTAGTACTTTTACCCATAAAATATAAATAAAATAAATAAAATGACATGTATCATACTTTTTTACCCATGAAGATATCAAAGCTATGGGATTTGAACCCACGACCTTAGGGTGTGTTTGGCCTCGTTTGGTTGGTCGGGAATGTCATTCCGGTAATCTTACATTATCTAGTGAATTTTTGGGTATATTACCGGGAATGTCATTACCTCTTTCCTTAGGTATTGTTGGATTACCGACCTTTTGGACTAAAATGCCTTAAATTTTTTCTTTCAAAAAATCCTTATTCTGTCATTGAATAATAAAAATTCTACGAAGGTTAAATTACAAATTTATCCTTAAATACTTTAGATTTACAAAAAAAAATCTATAATTAAAATTTGATATGAAGTTCAGGGTGTTAAAATAAAATTTTACCTTTCATTAAACCTTTTATATTTTCAATTTGTAAAAAAATTATATAAATTTATGAATTTAAATTTTTTAAAGAAAATATATAAATATTTTCCAATTTGTTAAAAAAAATATATAATAAAGACAATTTGGTAATAATTTTTTATTCCTTTAACCAAATATTGTAATCTTACATTCCTGTTAAACCAACCAAACTCAAAATTCAACATTCCTAATAATATATTCCCTGATTATATATTTGTTAAGAATGTTATTTTGAGTTTGGTTGGTTTAACAGGAATGTAAGATTATAATATTTGGTTAAAGGAATAAAAATTTATTAGAATGTATATTTTACCAAATTGTCCTTATATATATTTTTTTAACAAATTGAATTATACTATAATATTACTATAATTAATTTATATATTTCTTTAAAAAATTTAAATTCATAAAATTTATATTTTTTACAAAATTGAAAAGATAAATAGGTTTAATGAAAGAGTAAAATTTTATTTAATCTGAACTTCATATAAAATTTTAATTATAGAATTTTTTTGTAAATCTAAAATACTTTAAGGATAAATTTATAATTTAACCTTCGTAGAATTTTTATTATTCAACGACAGAAGAATTTTGAAGAAAAAATTTTAAGGACATTTTAATCCAAAATGCCAGTAATCCAATAATACCTAAGGAAGAGAGTAATTACATTTCCGGTAATATACTCAAAAATTCCACTGTTGGGAATAAAAAAATACCGAAAATAAATTATTGACTACCAAACGGGGAATATGGATTTCATTCCCCGTAATCCCACATACCCCTGAACCAAACACGCCCTTAAGGACTAGAGCCTAAATCTGGCGCCTTAGGCCACTCGGCCAAACTGTCCTAGCTGAATATCAACATAAAACAAACAATACAAGTATAATAAATCATTAGAATTTCAACACAAAAAATAAAACTAAAGCCAATAAAACAAGAACAATCAATGTTGAAAACCACCAACTTTGAGATCCTCCATAGCCTTGGTAAGGATCTGCCGTCCATTCCAAGGCTTCTTTACTGTATTTCTTTCCCTCCGAAATCCTCACAACGTTTTGCCCTTCTTCACATAACCTTATGTGAGACAATATGTGAGGGAAAACTTCTTTATAAGACTCTTCACCGATCAACAAATCCGAATGTCCATATCCTCTACAACCACCCTTTCATGTCTGAACCCTGGTTGATGCATCTTCACATACTTGTTTGCTAGAAATGTGGTCTCCGGTGTCACCAGAAGACTCCGTCCCCCGGAGATGTACAATGTCGAGACCGCCATTCTCTCCGGATGAATCAAATACGAGTTATTTCCGCTACTATCCACGATGAACCCTGACTTGCAGATTTTCCTCAGGTGAGGAAATGCTGCCAAGGGGACGTTTGTTGTGCTTTGCTTGTTTAACCAGTGGTGCATTGTTGGTGTGACATTTTGGTGCCAGAATGCATTGCCGAATATACCTGAAAAGACATCGCATTCATCGCAAGTGCATCGTTCGCATCTAGGTAGCCAACGGACGATCGCCATTAGGAGCCGATGTCTTAAACTGGCCTTTGATGTGTCTAACATTGGCAGAATCTTGTTCTCACCTAGCAATGCCATTGAAATCTGCAGGTTGACTTGATTTAGATGGAAGCCTGAGGATCAAGAAATATCAAATTGACATTAAAAGGGAAAACTCACCGGGATCAAAGGGAGCCACATTTTGACAGTGGCTAAAGTAGTCACCTTGAAGAACATCGAAGAGTTGGTGCAACACAACGAAGCGATTTGAGTTGGAGAGATATGTCCTCCCAAGAGAGCTATGTGAATGGACAATCCTCCGACACAGTGCGCAACCACATGCATCTTTGTGCTCGAACCATGGAATTCGCGTATCTTGTCGAATACTACAAATTAAATGCAGACAGAAATCAATTAGATGAGTAAGTGATTACATCTACAGTTTTTCCAAATCTTTTCCTACCAGAAGGTATGTCATATCTTCCAATGTCTTCAATGGTGAAGTTGTTTGAGGGATGCGATTCGTGCAATCTCGATTGAAGTAACCATACTTCATACCCTTCTTCCAGTAAAGTCCTAATTAAATCTTTCGGTTCCGTTGGCAGAAAGAAACTCTCAGTGGAATAGCCATTAAGTAGAAGAACTGGTTGCTTTTCTTCCTTGAGCTTCCATCTACTTTGATCACAGCTCCACTGCAGGCAACTGATGTTACATCCATCTTCTGCATTATATAGAGTAAACAATCAAAATTACAACTTATAAACATGTTCATAGAAATTCATATTATAACTTGTAAGGATCTTTAACAGGTTCAGACTCGTGCGTACCTGTTTTTAACCGATGGAAAGTACTCGCCGGATAAGAAGAATTTATGGAAGACTCCATCAGGTACTCTTTGGTACTTTGATATGGTATCTTCAAAATATAGGTTCTAAGGAGATTTGATGCGAAAATATCGATAAATCTTCCTTTTCCATTTCCTTCAAGGCTAAATAGAGTTTTCAATAGTTCAATCATGGAAATTCTAAGCTCCCCTTTTAAGTTCAACCCTTCTTCTTCCCCAGGAACCCTTTTGAATGTCACATACAATGTTGTTGTCTCACTCCAACAATTAAGTGCAAAAGGAAAAGGATTCATTATCTTCTTTCCCTCAAGAACATATCTGCATTTAACCAATTAATGTTACAGATTAATTTTCCAGGAAAAGAAAAAGAAGAATTAAGAGGAATGCAAATGGATGCCTTACTGTACCTTGACCCGGAAGAAGCGGCAAGGAGAAGGCTGTAGTGCATATATCGTGTGTAAGGGGTTCGGAAATTGACTTCAAACATGTCTACTTGGCCATCTATAATATGCAGCTTATCCTTCTCTATTGCTCTGAAGACAAGGTAACCACCAACTTTCCCTTTTAAAGTTGGATGAGATTTTCTCATAAACCTATTCGAAACATCGTTGTTGTTCCGGTTCTGCAGGTTTATCTTCATTATCAGAAAAGCAGTGCATGGCATGCCCCCAACATACCCTCTCATGGTTTCCTTGACAGACACATATGATGTCTCTTTGCTCTTCAAATTATCATGTGTTTCTTTATATGGATTGTGATCTACCACTTTAGGAGCAAAATCTGTACAGTTTTGACTTTTGTACATGAGAATGTCCTTCACAATGTGCTTACTTACATGCTCAGCGGCTGTTGCAATTGTAAGGCACGGATTTACACCGACCGAGCACGGAATTAGAGAAGCGTCACAAACATAGAGACCTTGATGCACTAGACCAGGAGCCTCTGGATTGAAAACCTGACCTTTTGGACTACAAACACCATTCAAAAAGTCTGAAGATGCATTGCAGCCACCTAGAACGTGTACTGATGTGCTTCGGTACTTGGCCATGAAGAGAATTCCCCTAGTTTCTTGGTAATCCTTTGGAAGGCCTCAACTTTTCTTGGAAGCAAAGGGTCATGGGGTGGATGAAAGCAAATTTTATTGGTTTCCTGTTCGAATGTGATTTTTCCATCACTCTTGTCATGCCCTATTGCATTGAGCACCATTGCTTGGCTTGACTTGGAACCTATGAGATGTTTCAGCTTATCGATAACGCCATGAAAGAACCAGTAACCAGTCGGCCATCCGAATGTTGTGATTCCTTTAAACAAGATGTAAGGATAAGCAGTAGGAAGTACAGCACTCTGCACCAAAAGAAAAATGGGCAATGAATGAATGAAACCTGCAGTACCCATATATACCAAATGATCCTACAATCCAGTAGTACTTTCTTGCAAGTTAAGTTTCTATCGATGGAAAAATCGAACCTGAATTGTGAAACCCAATGAAGAAGTGTAAGATGAAGAGATCGAGGGTCCAGGCCTTGCTGAATAGGTATCTTCGATAGTTGCTTTCTATCTAATCCATAGGCATTCAAAGGTCCTGAGCTTCCAGCAAGATAAGCAACATTATTACCATTACAACTGAATCCGGAACCAAGTGCATCTGAAAGTTTTAATCCTCTCATCTGTGATTTGAAAAGTATTGCAGTCGTGCCGAAAACTCCCGCTGTCAGACATGAAATCGAAGCTACCCTTAAGGTTTTGCAAAACAGAAGTTTGAAGTTATATCTATTCAGGTTTCACTATTACTTCTTCATACCAGACAGGATCACGATATCAGCTTTTATGTAATCGATCTCATTTAAGTACACAAACCACCTTCGTCCACGGATTTCATCGTCTCGGTCTGATTTGAATGGATTCTTAACGACATACTGAACTCCGCACTCTGTCTTGATAGTACATCCTGCCTGCAAAACAGATTAAATAAAGGAAATGAGCCTGGTAACTCGAAGCAATTTTATCAAGTTATAGAGAACATGCCTGAGTTGCTGATTCAAGATAATTTTTGTCAGTAGAATTCTTGGCATTATAAGGACAACCAGCAAGACAATTTCCACAGGCTATGCAGGCATCCAAATTTTGATGCTTCAGTAATCTGGAAGGGGACTCTTCGAGATTGAAGTTCATGCTGAACTTCAATGAATCTCGAACGATTCCTTCAGCATCTCCTACACCGATTTCTTCCATAACTTTAGCAACAGGGAACTGGACGGGAGCACTTTGTATTCTCAACATGGAAGCAGCAGAAGTTTGACAACTATCCCAGTCCCTTTCCCATTCCTTCGGCCATCTCGAATTTCTTCGAGCACGAACCGGAGTTGGCAGCATTACACCAGCGTTTACTAGTGAACCACCACCAAGTCCACAAGCCACTGCTGCCAGCGAATCATTCTGTTCATAAACCTGTAATAATTTCATGTATTCTATAGTTAAAAGAACCCTTCAAAGTAAGGACACATAAAATTATGTTGAGTGGAAAGAGGGATTGACCTGAAACAAAGCATCCCTTGGACCAAAGCTGACACCTAAGTTGTGATTCTCCATCCTTGTTGCAGACATCATCTGCAAACTGTCTGTAGGAAAATCCTTAGCTTCCCATTTTCGGCCTTTCTCGACCAGACACACCTTGAGTCCTGCCTCGGACAACCGACAAGCAGCGACGGAACCACCGTATCCCGACCCCACGACAACAGCATCGTATCCATCTTCCCTGCGAGTGTCGAACATAATTTGTTTTGAGTCTATTGGTCTCTCCATTTTAGCTTATTGAGACAGGCTGTTAGCTGTTACAGAAACAACGTGAAATAATAAAGACGATAATCAAGTCAAGTAATCAAGCAGCCCGATATAACAATCTATTTCGGGGAAATTGAAGTTTTTTTTTATTTTTATTTTTGGAGTACTTTGGTCAACTGGTTCACAATGTGAAACATTCATATCCATCAAAGGAAGACCAAGATTAGTTATTCAATACGAAGCCAGAAGCCAAAACCCAATATTGACGTATTCTGCTGCTTCCTTTTTATTAATCATCTCTTAACTGCTCCTTTATTATTATAAGGGAAAACTACGTTGAAAGAAGAATATAAAATTCCTTAATGCGCATGCCAGGTCAGGAACTATAGTGGCAATAAAAAAAATCCAGAGGGCAGGGAAGTAAAGTCAAAATTTCATTCATCAATCCTTGTAAAATGCAAATCCTACAACTTCTGAATATTTATGCATGCTTATTTAACCAGCAAGCAACGTCAGTGCAACAAACTGCTTTCTTTATTCAAACTTAATCTCAAGCAATCAAAGTCCACAAACAAGGTGACACAAAATCGCAAAAGCTGTGTTTCCTTCATTCATCCTTTAACACGTGAATACCTTCAAGTCCGCCGGTGAGTTTGATAATAATAGGCGCAGGGAAATTCAGATTAATATATTAGAAGACAGGATGAATGGGAACGAACAGCAGGCTTCTGCAAGCGTGTTAATTATAAACTTGGAGGGGAACGAACAGTTGAATAAATTATAAACTTCATCACTAAATAGTTCTCTCACTTTTGTTTTGATCATTCAAGTTTAATTATTTTCAGTTTAATCACTCATTATTTTAATTATTATTTTTTAATCACTCAGTATTTTAATTATTATTTTTTAATTACTCAACTGTTAATATCTTATTATAACATGACTTCTTTTATTAATGTTTATATCAAACAAGTTTTAGATTAAAAAGAAAAAAAAACTAGAATTCTTTAATCTCATCGATCTCATTCTCGTCCACATATACAGAAACAAATGCAATATTTTATATTAAAGAGCGGATCTTTTTAAATTTTATGGGAAGATAAATTATAAAGTCTAAAAAAAATAAAAACAAAATTTTAATAAAAATCTAAAATATTAATATTTTTAAGTTTTAGAGAGGATTACCCATCACTGCGCGGCTGCGCACACATAAAGAAGTATATTATAGATAATATGAAGAGGTGGAACAGCCAACTGTAGAATTATCTTTTCATGGATAGTCAAGTTGAATCGACATTTATGAGTGTTTTCTTTATATAGAAAAAAATCTGCCAGTTGGGTGCACGCTATCCCAACCATAATAAAATTCATATCGAATTATACAGTTGAATTCAGGTTTGCTGTACTAAATGTATATATTTCTTTAACTAAGGATATTATGGTTTTCGAAAAATCTAAAAGATTTTACCAATTTCGTCAGTTTTAATACATAAATTTTTAATTTTTTTTTAAAATTTAACATAATTTTTTAACAGGTATTAAAATAAAATAAAAATTAAACCTTAAATATGCTTTTAAAATAATTAAAAATTTGTGTAGTAAAACGGATCAAACGGATTGCTTAAGTACTTAACGAGTAGTTTACTCTAGAAATTAAATTAAAAACAATTATAAATTTTAACCATTTGGTTAATAAATATTCTATCTTTTTATTCATTTTTATCTTTCATAACAAATCAAGCATAAAGAAAATTTGATACTTATAAACGTCGAACTCATAAAAAATATTCTGATGAATAATCTTATAAAGTACCTAATATGGCACTTATTTTTTTCCCTTCAAATTTTGATACAAAATCACATAGATCCATCAAATTACTATTAATTAGCTTAAAAAACATAATAGTGAGTCGGAAATAAGTAACTTTACTATTAATTAGCTTAAAAACATAATAGTGAGTCGGAAATAAGTAACTTTACTATTAATTAGCTTAAAAACATAATAGTGAGTCGGAAATAAGTAACTTTAAGGCTTAGTTTGTTTTCACTGTGCAACATCTTCAAACCTCTTATGTCTGCGTCGCGCAGACCACGCGCAGACATTAGGCTTCGCATACCGTTTGTTTTTTAGAAGACAGAAGCTATTCTAACGTATGCGCGAGCTCTTCTTGGTGCAGACATTGTTTTATGTCTTTAAAGGTCTTCAAATCTATTCAAGAACAATTCTAAAATATGGTTATTTATTAAACTAATTTTAAATAATTTAATAATGTTATTTATTTTAAAATAATTTATTTTAAAATAATTTATTTTAAAATAATTTATTATAAAATATGGATTGATTTATTTTAATTTATTTTAAAATAATTTATTATAAAATATGGATTGATTTATTTTAAATAATTTATTAGTATGGATTGATTTATTTTAAAATATGAATTGATTTATTTTAAATAATTTATTAGTATGGATTGATTTATTTTAAAATATGGATTGATTTATTATTGTAGTTGTATGGATTGATTTATTTTAAATAATTTATTAGTATGGATTGATTTATTTTAAAATATGGATTGATTTATTATTGTAGTTGTATGAATTGATTTATTTTAAATAATTTATTAGTATGGATTGATTTATTTTAAAATATAGATTGATTTATTTTAAATAATTTATTAGTATGGATTGATTTATTTTAAAATATGAATTAATTTATTTTAAATAATTTATTAGTATGGATTGATTTATTTTAAAATATGGATTGATTTATTTTAAATAATTTATTAGTATGGATTGATTTATTTTAAACAATTTATTAGTATGAATTGATTTATTTTAAAATGGATTGATTATTATTGTAGTTGTATGGATTGATTTATTTAAAATATGGATTGATTTATTTTAAATAATTTATTAGTATGAATTGATTTATTTTAAATATAGATTGATTTATTGTAGTTGTATGGATTGATTTATTTTAAATAATTTATTAGTATTGGTTGATTTATTTTAAAATATGGATTGATTTATTTTAAATAATTTATTAGTATAGATTGATTTATTTTAAAATATGAATTGATTTATTTTAAATAATTTATTAGTATGTATTGATTTATTATTGTAGTTGTATGGATTGATTTATTTTAAATAATTTATTAGTATGAATTGATTTATTTTAAAATATGGATTGATTTATTTTAAATAATTTATTAGTATGAATTGATTTATTTTAAAATATGGATTGATTTATTATTGTATTTGTATAGATTGATTTATTTTAAATAATTTATTAGTATGGATTGATTTATTTTAAATAATTTATTAGTATGGATTTATTTATTTTAAAATATGGATTGATTTATTATTGTAGTTGTATGAATTGATTTATTTTAAATAATTTATTAGTATGAATTGGTTTATTTTAAAATATGGATTGATTTATTTTAAATAATTTATTATTGCAGTTGTATGGATTATTTAAATTTTAGTATTGTAAAACTAAAATTATTTAAATCTCAGTATTGCAAAACTCTTTTAAGTTTAAAAAATCAGTTTATTTATATTTCAGTTCATTTTAGCAGTCTGCAGACGTTAAAAAACAAACAGTCTTCTTCTTTCAGACTGCAGACTTTTGGTCCACGTCTTTTGCTGCAGATGCCTGCAGATGTGGTCCGCAAACTGCGGACCTTTTACCTCTGCAAAAACAAACACCACCTAAATGATGATAACTCTACTAAAACAAGAAGGTTTTAAAAATAATAACTAATTGCATCATATGTCCCTAAACTATAACCCACATTTTAAATTGGTCTGTAAGCTTTTATATATTCTAATTCAACCCCAAATTACGACTCATATTTTAATTTAGTCCTTGAATTTTTAAACATTCTAATTTCATCCCTAACTATGACCCTCTTTCTAAATTAGTCCTCAATCTTTTGAATATTCCAATTCCATCCCCAAATCCATCCAAATATGTAATTAAGTTCAACCATAGTTTAACCTAAATTTTGTTTTTTCAAACATATAATAATATAATTTAACCTAACAATTTCATTAATAATGGATGTGATTAGTATATGTGTATAGTTTGAGATGATATTGGAACGTTCAAAAAGTTTGGGATCAATTTCATTAACAATTTTGTTTTATTTTAAAACACTTTTTTTTATAGTAATTCGAAATATTTAAATTTTAAATCAATTTCTAACATCTTAATCTGATCCGATCCGAATCTAAATTAAACATTAGAAAATATTCTTCTATTACCGAAAGTAAAAAAAAATGTTAAACCAAATTTTGAGATGTTACACTACTTTGATGATACGACTCCTAAGGCCTGAACATAAAATAAACATACAAAGAATATACAGAATTGAACTTGACCCGAATATAGTCAAGGTCATCGAGAATTTACATAAATATAAAAAGTACTTGTAATATAATAAAAACGTAATATATATATTATTTACAAAAAAAAAACTCATTTATATACCATATGATATAAACTAATAAGAATGTAAAATATAATTTTAAGTATTATATAATACAAATACAAAACTATATGTATAATATAATATAAATGAAAAACCATATTTTATAAATTATAACATATAAATATAAAAACATTAAATAAGAAGTCAAAATATGCATATTACATATAATAATTCAAACAAATCACATAAGAACTATATATACAGAATAAATATGTGGCGTACTTTATATGTATAATAAAACAGCTGTAAAATATTAAACACAATAATATGTATAAATTATAGGTAGCAAAGCAATATTATATAAATATACTATATATTATGAACATAAAAATACTATATAAGATATGATGGATTCAAATGAAACATGAATGACTAAAGTAATGTTGAAATTAGATGCTTATTAATTTGTTAATTATCAGTTAACAATTAGTTCAAGAAGTTCTTGTCGCAATATAAATGGGATGGATGCAAATGATTGGTGTTAAACCATATTCAATTAAGTAGTTAAGTATCAAAGGTTAGGTG